TAATAATAATAATAAATGTCTCATCAAATAAATTCTAATTTACGGCAACCATTTTCAAAGTTTTCTAAGTATAACACTCAGAAGCAGTTTACCGTTCCCTTCTGGGGGCATCCTGAGACTGCAATTGCCCAAAACCACACAGGCTGGCTGTTCTTGAATGCACTGTGGGGAATTAAACTCTCAACCTCAGTCTCCACAGCCGAACACCTATATCACTGAGTTATCCATATCTCTCTTGAAAGTGCTGTGGACTTAATCATCGTAAGTGGGTATAAAAGCTTTCCCCATCCTGGCTTCCACCAGATCCTTTGGACTGAAGCCATAGCCAGCATGATCACTGGACGTTGCAATCCAATATATCTGGGAGGCCAATGTAGTTGTAGAAAGATGGGGTATAGGATTAAACCGCAGTCAACTCACAAAAAAGCAATAGGAAGCAGGGCCACTTCATTGGATATTTTGAGAGACAAGTGCCATTGAAATAATATAAAAGAAGAAAATTGCTGATCCTGAGTAGAGTATCTTACCTCATCTTCTCAGCAATTCTGAACTCAGTCTTTTAGAATTAAGCAGCAATGTTTGCCTCTGCTTCCACAGTATTCAAATAAACACATTTTGAAAAATCTGAAAGGTAGTAACTTAATGTTTAGAAATTTTTAGAAACAGAAGAAGCTGTGTAGGTCCACTACCAAAACAAAATTCACAGTTGGACAATTGCACTCCAACAATCATACATAAAACCTGAGCTGTTATTTTACTGCAGAAATGCCTGCATGAAAAGGGGTGCTTCCAAATCCCCACAGTCCTAGTTGTGGTTCATGCTGGATGGAGCTAATGGGAACTGCAGGTCAAAACATTATGGGGTATCTCCACCACATGTTAAAGACTTAAGACATCTTAAAGACAAATCTTAGCAGTAAATTTATTATTTTAATTGATGAAGTTTGTAATAATAAACCATTTGCACAGGCATAAGCCGCATCAAACTCAGCAAGACTTCCTTCCAAGTAGAAATAGATGTTATGCTATATATACATGAAAGGACATCTACTGTATCTACCCTATTCACCTACCCCAATTCCACTGATACACCACTAAAAGCAACAAGTCAATGAAGTAGGAATATTTTATTTTATTTAACAAGAAAGCTTCAGAGGCATTATTCAGAACAGTGTAACAAAATATCAGCTCTGCATAGTATCTTAAATTTTAAAAAATTATCTTCACCACATGAAAATGTATGTTTGACAGTTCACATTTGTTAGAAGTTAAAAAAAAATCACCCTATTCTGAAAGCAAATACGGTGCAAACTATGTATGTAATTAAATGTAACACCACTATTAATATTCTAGCTTCATTTTATCTCTGTTATTAAACACTCAGTTGCCGGTGCCATGGCTTCTTTGTTCATTAAGAAAGCTGGTAAATAAGGGGATATGATCCAGTAAAAGTTAAGCAAACAAAAGACTTCAGCCCTATGGACCCAAAAAGCTTAGGGGGGTACTTCTAAGAACCTATAGCCTGATTCATGTATTTTACTGGATGGTATCTCAATTTCAGCCCTATTCAGGTGTTAAACCTGAAAGAATGTTGTATGTAACAAAGGTGGTGACATGAGGATAAACTAATTTAGCTGAATGCACTCACAAGATCTGTGTAGATCTTTGTGCTGAACATGCAAAGATCTGCATGACTTTCAGGTTCAGTGTGCATGAAGGAGCAGGGCTGCTGTTCCCACCATCTTTTGAACCCTACATACTTTCAATTTTAACCATTAAATAAACTTTTGTCATACTTAGAGAACACTCATGAAATTAACAAGACTTTGATTAGCACTGAGTTACTTATCCATTTCATTTGAAAGGGTCTGCTCCAAGTATGATTATCTGGCTCCAGTGCAGTGAGAAAGTACATGTCACTGAAATCAATGGAAGTCAAACATAGTTAACTTTGGCTGGATCATTTCAAGTAGTCTTTCACTGAGCTGGCTGAACTTTAGTTAATACATTCCACAGAACTGTGTTCATACCAGCATGCTAGAGAATACAATACAATCCTAAACATGTATACTCCCTAGTAAGTGGCTTTAGGGTTGCAGCCTTAGTCTACAGCAGGGTTGGACAACTGTGGTCCTACAGATTTTTTTTTTATTTTTTTATTTTTATTTTTTTTTTGCCTGTGGCTTTCTTCAGCCCTGGCAGCCATAACCAATGGTAAGAGATTGTGGGAACTACAATCCAGAAAAATCTAGAGAGCCACAGCTATCTATCCCTGGTCTACAATTTTCTTTGTTCAGCGCAAAGAATATTCATTTTTCTGAGAAAACTATTAGCAATGCAAGAAGGTACAATTTTAACATATTAAATAAATGTAAACTATGCTTTATAATACACATTAAATAAATTTAATATTTTCGAATGAAATTCATAAAATTTCCTATGATTGTATTTCAAACAAAGCTGTACATACAGTTATTTAGTGCTAAAAATCGATTATATACTTTTCAAGTATAAGTCCCTCAGAAATATTATTGCCAAAACTTGTGCTGTGGTCAAAATCCAAGAATTAAATTAGGATATGTCATTTGAGATCATTCGCATCTTGATATGTTGGGGTTGAGTTTCTCGCTGAGTTTATGTATGAGAATTGCCAACTCCTCTGTTGCTTGAGACTTGTCTTCAAGGAGTTCATACCGAAGACTCGAAATATCTTGTTTAATTTCCTTTAATTCACCTGTGTAAGGAAGAAAAAGAAATTATTGTCAATAGAGTTGGAACAGTAAAAATAAATGTATTCATTTCAATAATTCACAGAGACAACAAGTATTTGAAGCTCTGTTTTTGTTGATGAATAGTCAAGTAAAAAGAGTTTGATCTTACAACTCCTTTACAATAGCATGATTTAAACGATTAATCAATCAGATTACTCAAATAAGGCTATTATTGAAGTTACATGTAAAAAAATCCCCAAATTAACAGACCTCAAATAAGGCTATTATTGAAGTTACCACATGTAAAAAAAATCCCCAAATTAACAGACCTGAGAACAAGCAAAAAATTATCAGTGAACAATTGTCAATTTAGAAGTTCCTAGACATGGGCATGAGCCTCAGTTTGGAGGTTTGTGCTGGTTCATACACTCATCGTGAGAGTTCCCATAGATGTGTTCCCCCGAAAGTTCTAAAAATACAGGCAATGTCAACAATTCAGTTCTAGTTCTTTTCATCATCATCAGGAGCAGCTGTTCATCTGTAAAGCTAATGAATCTTAACTTCCCTCTCCAGACCATGCCAATCCAAAATACTCTGTCTTGCAACAGAGTTGACTTGCTACACTATGCCGCTATTGGGGAAATTGGTTGTCGCCCCACCTACTGCGACAGCCTGCAACTATGTTCAGACGAAAGATTATAATTCCTGCTAATTTTAAAGCCATGCATTTCAAGTGTGCAAATTATGGCTTCACTACAACCAAGAAAATCTGTGCTCTCCTCTGAAGATGCCGGCCACAGAGACTGGCGAAACATTAGGAAGAACAACCTCCAGAACACGGCCAAAGAGCCAGAAAAACCCACAACAACCATTAGATCCCGGCCGTGAAAGCCTTCACAAATACAACAACATGAATACATTGCTCAGAAAGAGACAGCCTTCCACCCCTCTCTTGCAGGTGAAAGAGGACTTCAGAGTTCCTACTTTGAATTGTAGAGAAAGGAGCACTGCATTTATTTAACCCTGCTCTTCACAATACTTTGCATGTCTTTCAAAACCCACTCCTGATGTTGTTCAAAAGGTAAAAGATAAGCAGAGAGAAAGGGAAAAATGGGAGGAGGAAAGTAGCTTTGTACTGCTGTATTTCTGTATTGATATACTGTACCAGCTTTGGTAATTTTTTTAAAAAGGGCAAGGGAGGGTGTGATTGCCCAAGAAACAGCAGGACAAAAATCAACAAAATTAAAGAGTAGTGTAGTCTGCTATAATTGAACAAAAAGAAATAAATGGATATGGATAAAAACAATGTGAATGCTCCTGCTAGTATATAAACCACGTGAGCACAAAATAAATGTATTGGTACAACAGAGATATGGAAATAATTGGTATTTTGGCAGGTGTGATTAGGCCCTTAGTTTTGCTTAGCTTTGATGGAATCACCTTTAACAAGAATGATTAATGGGACACTGGTTTTTATACCAGAGCTATAATTGCATTTAATAATGAGCTTAAAGACCACCAGTAGTGAATAGTTAGTTGGACCGTGTTACTTGGCCTGCGGTGTAGATGTTTGTATTTTTAGTGGGGACTTTTAGTGGGTGGGGAGTGTTTGGGGAATTTTATGTGTGTGCATGTGTCTGATCTCTGGGTGTCTGTATTTCATTGTATGGGTATACTGTGTATATACTTACAATGACAATAAATAAATAAATAAATAAATAAATAAATAAATAAAAATGGTGTTGTAATTGTTTCTCATTTACATTTTCTGATGCTGTAAATGTATTCTCTGTTAAGAGTCATCTCGTTACAATTACAGTATGCAAACTGTATTGTTTTAACACCAGATTCTGATTATAAATACTTCATGTATTTTGTAGATTATTTGGATAAAGAATGTACTATTGCAATAAACTTATCTCAACTCTGATGTTATTTAAATCCAGTTTTTCCAATATAATTTTTTAAGCCGGAATTCACAAATAATCCAGCAGGTTTGTCGTATGTGCAATGCAATCCTATGCATATTACGTCTCACTGAGTTCAATTTGGTTATTATTAGGTAAGTGCTTGTAGCATTTTTGTCTTAAAAATTCTAATGATCACAAATTTTTAATCCAAGCATGTTTAGTTCAGCGCTGTCATTAATATTTCTAGCATTATCAGTACTATGACATCACTTCAGAAACCCCTCTTAAGATGAAATAAACACGGAGAATTTTGACATATGCATGAAAAGATGAAGAATCTCAGCATTACACAAAAGAAAAAAAATATCAAGTTGAATGAAACTTTACTGTTCCATTCAGTCCCAGTATACAAATTAAGAAGGGCTAATAAGATATTTGAAACTGAATTGAATAGGATGATATTTATAGGGAATTTTGTGTGTGTGTGTGTTTACAATATATCTGCAAAATACAAGCTTTTTTTAAAAAGCCACTATACAACAAATTAGAACATTTTATAGTGTTTCAGGCTCAGCTGCAATATATATATTTGTAAGCCAAAATTATACATAATTATTCACAGTATTTCCCACATTTGCTGTACTAACTTCTCATATCTCACAGAAGATCAGCATGCTCAGTATGCTTAGGCCATGTGCATTTCCTTTTTATCTGCTATTTGCAGAAGCCAGTTCTATTCATGTGGATATTTCTCAACACTACTGTACTGCTCGAATGTGGAGGTTTAATATTTTTAGCCACTTTATCTTCAAACATCTTATTTTATCTGATACACAAATATAGCAGTTCTAAATATAGCTCTACAAAGTAAAGAATAGTATTTGCAAAGAAGTATTATCCTTCATATCAAAGAAAGTTGACAAGAAAAAAATGATTCATTTGAAATACAGTATGGTGCTGGAGGAGAGCTTTGCAGATACAGTACCTAGGAGTGCCAGAAAAATGAACATGTGGGTCTGACAGCAAATCAACTCTGAATTATCTCTGAAGGCAAAAATGATGGAGTTGAGGCTACCATACTTTGAGCACATCATGAGAATGCAGAATTCTCTGGAAAAGTCAATAAACCTGGGAAAGACTGAAGGCAGCACAAAAAGAGGAAAGGACCAATACTAGATGGATTGACTCCCCAAAGGAAGCCACAGCTTTGGGTTTCAAGGAGCTAAGCAAGGCTACTAAGGACAAGACATTCTGGAGATAACTAATTCATAATGTCACATAAATCGGAGGGAACTTTATGGCACATAACTACGACAAATTATCCTTCATAATTCTGATATAGTGAGATTTTAGAGGGTGGAAAGTAATCTCTATCTATTTTCACAAGTTCTGAGCCAGGTTCATCATTCTGAAGATTATCCTTAGCCAATAAACACAGCAAGAGTACCCCTCTCATAATTAGGCCTTTGGGCAATTATTTTGTTCCAGGAAGAGGACTCTGCAGATACTAAGTATAGCTCAAAATATTTTATTTATTTATTTATTAGACTTCAAAATATGAAACCCAAACTAATTATCTATTACAGATAAAGACTCTAACCTGAACCAGCCTCGTAAACAAAACAGTTACCTGCAAAGCCATCTTGGCTTCACAGAGATTACACCAGTACAGTACTAGTTAAAATACTCTGAGCCTCTTGTCTGTTCTAGGTGGACATGTGTGAAAAACAGAAACCCAATTGTAAATCAAGTTTTAAAGTCTAAAAGATTAACAATCATATTTTGAATATCCTGGCCTTTTTATGTCACCATGAATGAATGCATTATATTAAAATGTGTTCTTGGTTTTCTGCTCACAGTTTCTGCATATTCACATTTAAGGATAGCTTTTAAAATGACATTAACCTGTGTCTGTCCCAAAAGGGGGGAAAAAACCTGTCACCTTCCTGCACAACCTTCCTTCAGCTCCCTGTCAGCAATATGCTAGAGAGGGAAGGTGATAGTTTTATTATTCAAATTGTTTTGCATCAGTGCTGAGGCATGTACTATTGCTAAGGTGTGTAGCATACTGTTATGTACATTCATGTTTAATTTACTGTATTTAATTACAAGACATCAATTAAATTCACATGGTTTTCCAACTAACAATGCAATTCCCAAAGTCTCCCAATCTGAATTTTAAAAAAAATCACTCCATTAATCCTTTTTGATTCTGGTATCCGAGCTGCATTTGAAGAAATTCACTAAGGGTTCTCAACTTCTAAATGCTCATGACAGCTATATCTGAAAAACCTTGGCAGAAAATGTTCCGTGTGGTTGAAAACATAAGGTACTGTAGTTTTAGAACTCAGAAGTAAACAAAATATTTTTAACTTATCGAAATGTATATTTTTAAATGTTTCTTTTTATATAGATGATAGTTTTTCAAAGATTTGTTGGGTGCTTGTCCCAGTCTTTTGGGGAAGGAAAATGTTTTTCATAAGCAACTCTGCAGTCCGTTGTTTATCTACATGGCATTTCCTCATTAGGACTCCATTCCCAGATTTTTCATGGGAAAGTTTCACAGAATTACTTCTTGATGTGTACAGGCAGGCATCCCAAGAAACATGAATTGTGAGTGTATGATGCTACTACTCTTAACAGCTAATATTGCGGATACAAAAAATATTGTTTATGCAAAATAAATCATCTCAAAGCATTACATAAAATAAAAAATAAGCAACAAGTCAACAGTCTAATCCAGAGGTTCCTAACCTTGAGTAACCCTGGTGTTCTTGGACTGCAACTTCCAGAAACCCTGGCCAGCATAGCTAGTGGTGAGGGCTTTGCGGAGTTGCATTCCACCAGGGTTACCCAAGGTTGAGAACCATTAGTCTAACAAATGTTGTAATTAATCCCCTGTGCATACATACATAACTACAAAGTCAATAATACTGATTCAGTTTCACTGACAAATAACTGGCTCAGCACATATGTTTCAGTACACACATTTAGTTCTACAGAACAATGCCAGAGGGTGGGAAAACACTTCATAGAATTGTGAAAGGAACATCATTTGAAATAACAGGAAAGAGATCTGTTGCTAAGGTTGCTCTTTTCCTAGATCTTGTGCAACCAACAACTGCTTTGCATATGTGCCTGTAATGTTTATGGGTATGCATCATAGCTGCCTCACTCATTAACCTAAAATAAGATTAATAATATTTTCCCATCTACAAAGCTTTGTTTAGAAAATTTCAAAAAGTGCCAACTCTGGCAAAGGAAACTACATACGGAATCCAGAAAATAAATAGCTAATATTTAAATATGAAAAACATTATCTCCCCCAACCCAACCCAAGCCAGCTTGGTTGGTTGTCATGCAGACCTAGACAGGGGTTTAGCAAATAATGATCTTCATTTAAAGGAAAGGAAATAGTGACTTATAATTTCTCTCTGACTTGCCCCAGATATCTGCTAAAACAGTTATTAGTTATATTCACGAAGTTATTAGCTACTCTGCTATAGTGAGATTCAATATTTATATTATGTGTGGCATTTAGAGTCCACACATTCTCTTCTATGTGAAAATGAGTAAATCTGTAGTCACTCTTACCCTCATTGACTTCATCGTTTTCCTTGTCCACTTGTGCTTTCAGAACATAACGTTTTATAAGCCTCTTCATGATTTGCTGTTGAAGAAAAAGCAGCTGAGCATCAGATGATCATTCTGCCAGACTACATTTGCAATTTTCAGCACAGTCCTCTAAAAGCAAATCCTACAGAAATCAACGGAATGTTTGTGTAAATATCACCAGGGTGAGTCTATACATTCCCGAAGTGTGGATCCCTTAGAAACAAACATTTGTTTCAGTACAAATATTTTTTCACCTCTAAGTTTTCACAACTTGAATGGTTCTAATGGTAAAGTAAATAAATTATTGAAGGTTAGGGCCAACAACAGCTATTAATCAGGATGGCTATATACAGCTTTTAATATCAGAGGCATAATATCTCTGTATGTCAGTGTCCAGAATCCTATTACTTATACCTGCTGGTATAAGTCAAATGGTGTAAATAATTGTGACAAACTTTCACTAGTTTGAAAGTTAACATTTGTATTTCTTAGTGTGCACCAAGTCACGTGATTGGTATGCACTGAGAAATATAAGCCTCAATTTCTTAACCAGCAACAATTTGCCAGAACAATTTATGTTGTTTGACTTAAATCAATGGGTGTAAAATGTCAGGATTTTGACGGGTGGTTGGAAATGTGGGGTGGAGGAGGCAGTTCTACTCATATCCTGCTCACAGGCTCCCCATAGATAACTGGTTAGTTCATGTGAGAAGCATACGTTGGACCAGAGAGGCATTGGGTCATATCTATTCCAGCTCTTCTTGCTTTCTCTCACAGAGTTGTCTATTTTGCATTTAAAATATGTAAATAATAAATGAGGAAAAAATAGCTCCTTTTTGTGCTGCAAGCAGTTTCCACCACAAGGTGTCAGCATTTTTTAAATTTCACCTTGCTATTCATTAACAGTCAAGTGGGGGTGGGGGCGTTTAAACTGAAACGATTTCTTCTAATCGTATAGCACCTCTATTCCAACAGAAAGAGAGCTGAAAAGAAATCACTTGGAAAACAAAGGGAGAGATCAACGTGAACAGTGACTGAAAAAGGGCACTGTACTCTCTGGAAAATGCACCCAGGAGAGACGTGACTTGTAAGGTTTTGGAAGGTAAAGCAAGAATCACAGAGAATAAAGGTTTTGGAAGGCAAAGCACAACAACACAGCTTTTTAAATCTTTGCCTTTTTGGACTACAGCACTTAGAATCCCTACCCAGCAGGGCTGGCCATGATGGGTGGGAGACTCTGGTAGTTATAATCCCTGATTATTATAATGATGATTATGTTTTAAAGGTCTGCAGAATAATGACTGAAAAGGTCAGGAGAAGTTATCTTGCAGTAGCTCTAGAACTCTATTTAGACAAATAGGGCTAAATGGGTGCTGGGAATGTCAGTGTGTTCCAAAAATACACCCCTGGATTTCCCCATGTAGCCAGCACCATCATAGACTGTACGTGGTTACAGACCTCTCTGCTGATCTTTTGTCTAGTGTATGTCTGGGTATCAGGACACACAGGAAGTAGAGTGTTCAAGTATGCCCTTATCCCCACCACCTTTTTTAGCCCTACCTGTAAGAAGACAAACACCTGGACTGCATTAATTGATATGTTAGGTAAATTGTATACAGCAAAATGATAGGATATATCTTAGGAAGATATCTGTACACTCCCTTTCTCCATCCCATCCTCTCTCCACACTATTCTGCATCTATCCATCCAGTGCCAAGATACGATTTTACATTCCAACAGCACTAATATTAATGGCAGTTAACACTAAACAGCCTTACATCTGGTTTTAAAATCTTGGTAAAGAAGGAATCCTGGTTAAAGCTAGCAGAAGAAATCTGAGTCAAAGAGGGCTCAGCATCAGATCTCAGAACATTATGTTTTTAAAAGTACCAATTGACTGAAATCTTATATCTGAACACAATAAATCACAATTAGACTAGATCTATTGAATCTGTTGGGATTTGGTGAGTCATTTCCTCTATTGGTTCAATTTATTACACTAAGCAACAGGATGTCATTATTGCTTTGATCAAGCAAGTGATTTGTTGTGTTGTGCATCATTAACAAATGACATTGACAATACCAGAAGGCCAAGGAAATACAGTAGTGGGAAATAATCTTTGATTCTTTCTAGAGACTAGTTTTTATATTTGTTGTTGTGTGCTATCAAATCAACTTATAGTAACCCTAATAAGGCTTTCACAGTAAGTGATATATAGTAAGTAACAATTTAATGATTTACATAACAACCGGGAAATGTGGATAAAACTACGAAGGACAAAATGAAGGAATACATCCATTGACATTTAGTACAGGCAAGACAATGGTATGAAAAATTCCTGTCAAAATGCCTCTAAAATTCCTTAAAATGTTCTTTAAATGTTACTTGAAAGTAACTAGGTGCTACTCCTATAAAGTAACTTTAACTAATAGTTATATACTTATCTCAGAAGTAACCAGCTAAAAGTAACAACTTCACTTACAATGAGCTGCTTCCAAGAGCGCTCAGCATGCAATAACCCCACAACTCCCAAAATTTCCGATCTGCTCTTTTTAAAACTGTTGCTTGTTTTTCATTACTGTTGGCTTTGTTTATAACTTGTATTTTAATCCCACATTGTACTGTGTTTATCTTACATAAGCTGCTTTTATACTGCTATAAAAATGTGGTGTATACATTCTTTAATGAATAGCAGATACCAGTATAGTTTTAAGAAAACACATTAAAAAACAGAGAACCAAAAAGTATTGAGCACGCTCAGTCCCCTCCAGAACCACTAAATGTTCTGTCCTGGTGCCTCCATCACACTCTCTACATGTACTCCCAATTGTGTGGAGAACCTTTGCATTTCCCAGGGGCTCTCCTCATCACACACAAGGAGAATACATATGGAGGGGTGAGGCAAGTGCACGCCGCCTCCTCAAGTGCTCACAGTATGAACACCTGAGTATGGCTATAGTATAAAAGGATTGTATTGAGCCACAGCAAAGGATTGACTAGAGCTGAGTCAACACGGTGAACCACTTGAGGGTGGAGTTTTTGTTGCTTAAAACAACTGGAAACAACAGATCAGAATTGTAATAGAGTCTATCTTTTCAATTGTTTACCATTTCCAGTTGTTTACCCTTTATTTAATTTGTCGTCCTGCTGTCTACCAAACCAAACAGGTGTATGCACACACCACACATCCTGTGACATTTCGTGGGTGGGGAGAAATGACATTTTTCAAGGACTGGTCTCAGAAATATCAAGCTGGGCCAGAATTCAAATTCTTCCCTTGTATTTAGTCATACCAGCTGCTGAAAAGCTAGTTTGCATTCTGACTTCAGAAAAGAAAAGGTCACATTTTATATGTCTCAAGGTCAGTTTTGATAACAGAATTAAAAAGACAGGGAGGGAGAACATGGGGAAATTGTTCATATCTACAGTATCTGAATAATATGCTTATGTTTATTTATGCAGACTGGTACTTAATTTATTAACATCTCACTGATCTTTTTGAGACAGACTCTATCATAAGTCTGACTTCTTTTCAGACTATTTTTCTGGATTTTTTGCATTTTAAAACTTAACTGATTTTTTTTTTAAAGCAAAACAACTATTATTGTCCTTTCATTATTAAAAGCAATTGTTCTTTAAGGCAAAAAAAAACTTAAAGAAGGAAATGAAGGGCAAACTCTACTCTTTATAGTTTCAACTGTCTTTATCAGGTCTCAGGTTTCAATCAAATGGGAAAGTAGTTCACATTCTGGACAGCTTGTGATATAATTTGGTGTGAGCTATTTCCTGGTGATCATGTGACCTATGGGCAATAGCAATCCAGCCTGATCCTAATTCATGCCCAAGCTGGACCTTTTTGGTCCAATTGCAAGGTAACTCTTTTTAGGGGCCAGGCTAGAGCAATTCCTGCATGGATGGAAGGGTCATTTTAAAGGAAATTGCTCCCAGTAAAATGAACTTTTCCACTGTGATCCCTTCTCACCATCTGATCCCGTCTAAGTAAGCCAAAACTAAAAGGCTAAACCCAGTTTCAATCTCAGCTACAGTAAGCCCACTGAAGCAAGTGGGATTTGTTAATCAATACTTAACAGAAATTTCATCGATCTCAATGGTTCTAATCTAGCCAGGAGTAAAAATGGATTTATCACCATGGATTTGCAGCTAAATTAATATATTAATATATTTCTCAGCATTTCTCTCATAGCAATTCCTGCCACATGACCTCAAAACTCACAGAAGTTTAAAAAATAGTGTGCAAGTTTGACAGAAGAGCAGGTGTAACAGGAAAAACAACACAGGTGTAACAGTTCCTGACTGCAATTTCTGTGCTAAATAATTAAAATATCTCCTAAAAACAGTATTTTTTTTTCATACTGTGACAACTCTGCATAATAGCAGCATTGAAATTTGTGGTATAATTCACACAATTACAGCTTCACAAGCTGCCCAAGTAACAATTTACCTGATAGCGTGTTGGCTGATTCAGAATGCTGTTAAAGCTGTGTGACTCAAAAACCCTTGAGTTGGACTGAGAAAAGAGATTTAGCTAGGAAAGAATACATCTACATTAGAATATTTTTCACAGAATCTGAAACTACAATCTTCCATCACTTTATCATTGATTACAGAAATAAATATTTGCCAGCATAAAATGCTGGAAGAAACAAGTTAAGCTTTAATTCTATAAATTACTTACACATATATTTACTTCCAATTTCAAGAATGTCCTCATATAAGAATATGTATTTTAACTACTTCCTGAATCTGAAGCATGAAGAAGAATATGTATGCCTGAAAAACAAATGCACTCTTCAATGGCCTAAGACTGGTTTGCATTCCTGAATACCTCCATATGTTGCCAGGGTAAAAATGATAGAAAGGCAGAAATAAACAGCATTTATTTATTTTTAAAGAACAATGAATAGTGGGAAAAAGTTAAATGAGAATCTCAGATAACAGAAGCCTGTTATTCTCACTGATAATCTCTGTGTTCCTTTACAACAATACAAAATAGTGCTTACTTATAGTGTAAATATTTAGCTGCTCCAAATCAGAAGAGGCTGACAGAAGTGAAGGTAAATAAACCACAACAAAGAGTGAAGACAAACATAATATGAAAAAAGAAACTCACAATACATTCTACAGTCCCATGGGAGCCCAACTTGCTCCCACACAAAGAGAACAGTTATGGTGACTGATGCTTATTCTCAATCTCAACATGGAGAGAGAAGCAGGCAGGCAGGCAGGCAGACAGACAGACAGACAGACAGGCATCTATCTACATCTAGGAAGGAATCTGGGGAAAATTCCCCTTTGAAAAATAAGTATTAAATGTGCTGACAATAAGGACTGATTTGTTCAAAGGTTGCCTTTATATGTTGCTACTTTCTACAGTGGTTTTTGGTTTTTCATCACTGCATTAACCCAGTTTCCTCCAGTTTGTATAATTTAGGAAAGGGACATGAGGCTTGGCCGGGTATTTCACTCATCCTTATATCAAATATATGGAGGAGGAAGCTGGATTGTACTTAGAGGCCATGTCCCCAAGTGCCAAGGAATCTCCATATTACAAGCCTAAATTCACAAATTCAGCTCAACGTACAAAATATGCCTCTACCTACATTTCAGAGAACACAAAAGTTGCCTATCAGTGAATCAAAAACTGATCCACCTGAATCCTGCCCCATTCACCCCTATCATGACTGGGCAGCTTTGTGTAATTATTTGTTCATTATTGCTAACTGGGCCAAGATGGAAATACTGTATTTTTATTCTAGCTGAATCAGCTCAGTTCAATTGATTTGCCACTTGTGACAACAGGCCATTGCAAAATTTAAGAGTCTGAAAATGATAGCCAAATGTCATGTCATAAACAGATGTTCATGGCTGACTGGATTGGCAGCTTAATTTTACTTCAAGAGAGGCAACAGAATGTTTTCCTCCAGCACACAGCAAAGCAGCAAGCTAATTACAGCAAGGCAGGCTATGTAGCACACACAGCTCTGTTTTCTAAGACTGGGATCAGCGAAAGCAGGGGTCCCCAACTTCTGGTCCACAGGCCGGTGCCAGTCTGTAGGCTTCCTGGAACTGGGCCGTGGAGACAGAGCTCCGCCCCGACACACACACGGTGGGCGTGTTGCACTCATGTAGGGCTGTGTCACGCTCGCACACATGTGCGGGAGGTGACATGCCCACCTGTAAGCATGACAGCTCATGTAGGGCTGTGTCACCTCGCACACATGTGTGCGAGGTGACATGCCCACCTGTAAGCATGACACCCCTCTGTGAATGTGACACACCCACCCGCGAGCATGGGGGTGCCCCTGCACATTCACGTACAGAGCCCGTATCCCCCAACTGGTCCGCGGTCCCAAAATGTTTGGGGACCACTGAGCTAAGGGATCAGGACTGCCAGCTGAGGAAGGGGCTACCACTGCTCTCCCCAACCCCATAATGGCAGGCTGAGGCAGTTGCCTCATTCAAGAGCCAGCCCTGTTTCAACTTCACCCAATAAAGTTAGGCCACTGGAGGAAAATAGCCCTGTTCAGGTACTGTATTAATCTCTTTTTACTGATTGGCACACAACAGGCATTACAGTGGTGCCTCGCATAACAATGTTAATTGGTTCCATTAAAAACATCGTTATGTGAAAACATTGTTAAGTGAAACACCATTTCCCATAGGAATGCATTGAAAACCGGTTAATCTGTTCCAATAGGAGCCTATTCAATACATTCCAATGGCGAAAAAAAATCACCAAAAATTCAAAAAGACTCAGAACGAAGCCAAATTACTTTAACGAAGGTTTCATTAGGTGCACTAACAATTCCAAGCATTTTAAACATTTTTTAAACATTTTAGAATATTTTTAAAATAGCGAAAACAAGGCTGTCAAAAAAAAGTTAAGCGAAACAGGGGACCTAAAACTGTCATCGTTATGCAAAAATCCCCCATAGGAAACATCGTTAGGTGAGGTGGCAAAATTTCCAGCAAAGGCCATTGTTATGCGAATTCATCGTTGAGCGAGGCACTCGTTAAGCGAGGCACCACTGTATTCTTCATCCCATGATTAGCACACGCATTCGGACATTAATCTCTCTGATGGCACATCACTGCAGTCCCCTTCAGGGCAATAGCCAATATCAGCGAGATATTGCTTTACTCATCTAGGCTTGCCACACAATTTAGAACTAATCTCACTGCTGCAGTGTCACCCTTTAATCCATGGAGAGTGATATCATCAGTAATGTCAGAAAGGGCAAAGAAAGCAAGTTCATTTTTGTTCTGGTTTATAGAAGATCCCTGAGTAAGTCATAGGGACTGCTGAACTATAGGAAAGCCTCCATTTTCTGCAAAAATTGTGATGGTGCTGCTTCTTACACTTCTAGTTTTCATTGGCCATCCTCAGCATGAGACACTGATAAGTGATATTAAATGGATATTTTGGTTATTTTTTACTCTAGTATTTCACATCAATGAAACTGATCATCAATGTGTATCTCATAAATGTGAACAATTATGTATGGTTAAAAAAAAGTAACAAAATATGAGAAAAGAAGGCTGTTTCCCGAAACACAGAGAAAGACTGTTATGCACCTACCCTGGATTTTGAGTTCCCAATTCCCATTTCTATATCCCTCTGTAGTCTTTTTCTCCTGCATGTGAATAATCTGATGATCCTCATGAAAAAATACACAAAAGACTTGGGGCTTGGTACAAGACTGAATGGAGGTGGCAGAGTTTTTCCATCATCAAAATACGATAACCAGAGCTTAGAACGAGCAAATTTCCACTCCACATCACTGTCATCCTGCATTACGAACAGAGAGAGGTTAATTTTAATTTGAAACATCCTGGCTATATACTTCTGTTTTTAATGATCAAGAGAAGGGGATATGGTCAGCATTAAATATTTCCTTTCTGTTGCTTTTTCACAATTCTATTTGTCATCTCATAAACATCTTTACTCCAATGCACTGAAGATGGTGAAATTTACTTCTCAATAAAGGTACTCTCTGTTGTTGCCCCCCACCACGATTTTGTAAAATTTTCCCTACTATGATTTATGCAACCCCACTGTGACTGAGTTTGAGTTTTTAAAATAATGTTTGAAGATTTTTCATTTCAATCTTTTTTTTCCTAATTGCCATCCCGAGGATCTTTACCACTGTTAGTTCTGTTCATTTTATAAATATTTGAAGATGTTTCAAGAATAAAATTATTCTATCAATTTGTTGTTCCCTGTTTTGTGGGGGCTTTAAAGGTGGTTTAGAAGTCTGTAGATCAATAAAGTAAATAAATAAGCATGTTTAGGATTGCAGCTTATTCTTTTTCTCCAATGTCATATTATTCTTAAACCTTTCAGATAGTTTTTTAAAACTGTTTGCTTATGGAAAGTAAGAAAACAATTTACGGCTGGGGTACCAAGGTTCTTTAAAGTCCTTCCATGAATTTAGTATTCTCAGTGGGATTTTATTTTACTTTTTTCCTTTGAACATCTTATTCCCATGCCGTAATACAAACTGCTTTTGAAGGTTCTCTCTGTTTGGTAACTTGACTGCTATAAATAATTATCATTTGACTACTGAATGATACAATATGCAGAGCTAAATTACGTATAAATTAAATTGAATTGAATACTAAGAGTCACTTTGATATTTCTTAATGTTTACATATACCTGTATAACAGGGAGCTAACATGAAGATATCAAATTCCACACTAGAAAATACTGTTTCCACCACAGTGCTGAAATCCTGTTGCTGAGTGTAGCAAGTCGCACTAGACTGGCCCATTGAATCCGTGAGGATTTGGCAGATCAGTTCCTCCATAAATTCCATTGATTCAGCATACCCACTCTAATGCAAATGACTTCACTAAGCAATAGGATTTCAGCCATAAAGAGACTGGCAGAACAGTAACAGTGCTGATGTAAGTCTATGGACAACCAGCTTCAAATCCTCATTGTCCATAAAGTTCGCTGGATGAGCATAAAAAAATAATTGTCCTTCTTTCTGCTTAACCCATGTTTAACCTATCCTACATGGATGTTGTGATGATGGCGGGGCTAAGCCACATATACACACATGTAGACACCAGTCCTATATTCACTTACCCAATAATAAATGGGGATTACTTTGGTACATAGACATGCTTTACTGTCAGTCATTTCTTAAGCATGTCTTGCACTGTGCTTAGAACATAAATATTCAGAATGAGCTGATTACATTTCTTAATGGTATCTTCTGAAATCCTGCCAAATCCTAAATAGCAAGCTTTATAGTAAATAAAACATGTCTATTGGTAACTGAAAGTCAAGTGTTAACTTAAGATGCAATTTCTAGTCATTGCCACTTTCCAGACATAGTGCCATCTTAGATGTTTTAGGATAAACATAAAGGCATTTCTAATCTGCCTTTAAGAATAGATTTGAGCTTCACAAGATAAGCAGGAAAAATGTACATGGTACATTGAACAATTAATATTGGCAATGGTATTTAGTCATCACAGCAATCTCCTATGCCACTCATACTATGTATTAATCTACCTAGTAACTGCAGAGTAAGGGCTGGTACAGAATAGGCACAATATTCACCTTTCTTAATTTAAATATACATGTAGGATGATTTCTCCACCCCCACTCCATATAACACACACAAATGCACATGGTAACAACAGGATTTGACAGTATAAATGTTATTCAGGATGCACTGGCATAAATGTATGTGAAATAATTTTATAAATGTTTGCTTAAATGCCATCACACAACCTCAGCCTACACTGTAGTTCTCTGTCAAGTATCTAAATGCATACAGAGTTCAGAGGGAGAGAGGTACAATCAAACAGGGGTTTGCCCAATTATGAATTATTCTCTCTTCTCTCAAACAAAGCCTAGATCAGGTTCTTTTCTAGATTACAACTCCCAACATCCCTCAGCCAACAATACAGCTTTTCTAACCAGCTTTTCCTCTGGTTTGAAATGGCACCCTCCAGTGCCAATGTCCCAGGCTACATAGCGTAGCTTCCCTGGTGGACTTTCTAGATCGATTTTCCAGAGCAAAGGAGCAGGATGGAAACCCTCCTTCTATGAACTTTCTTTAGTATCCAATCCATTATTTTTATGGTATCGGATATACAAAACTAATGTGTAAACAAATAAGAAATTGAGACTTACCTCAATTTCTTGATATGAGCTGTTGATCATGGCTATTAGCATGTTGAGTAAAACCACAACCATTGTAACATTGTATATTCCATACAATACATAGCCGATATTTTCAATGAATTTATGATCATATTTAAGGACAACAGATGTTACTTCTGATAAACCAAATATTGACCAAAATAAGGTCTTAAAGCTTTCTTCCACACTAAATAGAAAAGCAAAACATTAATTAATTCATTAATAAATATTTCTAAACAATAGTTATATCATATTATAAATACACAGAGAAAATTCAAAGATCCCGGCACAGACGTTTAGTCTCAACAAGTTGCACACAACATAAATGTTTTCATACGGAAACTGTTCCCTTTGTGTCTCTTGCTTATTGTCAATTATGTTTGTGAATGGCAAGCTGCATTAGCCAGAATTAAGACGGACATGAGAAAGTTGCACCTTGTTGTTCTCATATCTTTGTACATGAGAATGCAGCTGAGTAACTTAGATTACTTGCATATTTAATAAAGAAGCTCAGTATTACAAGAACTACCAGCAGAAAGTACCAGAGTGAAAGGATAATTTCTGGCTCCCAACAACCTAGAGTCAAGTAGCACTGTCTAAGAAATGATCACAGTGGCTTTGATCCTGTCAATGGAGCATTTCCTTCATGGACTTCCAGATGGAACATTCTACTGAGTGAAAGTGGAGAAAGGGATCTTGGCAGATTCCATCATCGCCCTGCAGTCCAGAGTGTTATCTGGAATGGAACTGGAGGGGTGCCTAGTGGTCTGCCAAGGAAATGGGAGGTTTGTGAAGATCCCTTTCACCTCTTTCCACTGGGTGGAGTGCTGTTAACAGAAGCCCACTTATTTCCCATATTCTGCAACCAGAAATCCTGGAAGACTTCCATAGATACAACGAACTCTGGCAACCACAGAAAACAGATTCTAGATCAATTTCAGAATACTGCAGGCTCTGAACACTATTAATTATTGTGGCTTAAGTGTGCTTAACTTTCCTGAATTCCAGCCAGGATATGTTTAAAAATTAAACACAAGATGGTAAAACATCAAAAAGAATTGTCATCTGAAAGATGAGCTAGTCATGCTTTGTTGAGGTTGTTGGTGTTACTTTTCAAGTGCTTAGAACTACATTAAGCATTGTACAAAGAATGATGCTGGCTTGTTGCTGCCAAAACGGCCTTGAAATGAAAATTACATTTAAAAAAATGGAAGATGGGAGATGTAAGAAAGGAGCAAAAATAAGAGCATAGAGGAAGTGCAGCAACCTTCTGTTCTTTCTGCATAAACAGAATGCATGGGACAAACACTTAGCCTTTAATCCATTATTAGGAGTTCTGAATATTAAATCCTTGTGGGATGCATTTATTGATTGATTGATTGATTGATCGGGATGCATAAGGTCAGTAGAAGCTCTAGCTGGTAAGATTGGCTTGGTGAGTCTAAAAATTTGCTTTCAAAAACTTGGACTATCTTTCCCTACAGAATCTGCTGCCATTACATCAGACTTCAAGAAAGCTGAATCTGGCACAGATATGACATCCCAGGCGCTTCTGACCTTCCTATATAGTGTGCATGTTAAGCTTAATCTTATGCTTCCTGTGGTTTCCCTTATTAAGCTGGTAAGATTGGCTTGGTGAGTCTAAAAATTTGCTTTCAAAAACTTGGACTATCTTTCCCTACAGAATCTGCTGCCATTACATCAGACTTCAAGAAAGCTGAATCTGGCACAGATATGACATCCCAGGCGCTTCTGACCTTCCTATATAGTGTGCATGTTAAGCTTAATCTTATGCTTCCTGTGGTTTCCCTTATTAGGCATAGCATATTCATTTGCTTTGAAAAACTTGGACTACCTTTCCCTACAGAATCTGCTGCCATTGCATCAGACTTCAAGAAAGCCGAGTCTGGTACAGATATTACATCCCAAGTGCTGACCTTCCTATACAGTGTGCATGTTAAGCTTAGTCTTATGCTTCCTGTGGTTTCCCTTATTAGGCATATCAAAATAACAGGGACATCATTATTAGATGCAGTAACGATGGGCTGGACTATCAATAATGATAGTTCTGTGTAAAACAATGTACTGTACTTTTTAAATGGATGAGTAACAGAACAAGGTAAAGGTAGAAGTAAAGGTCCGCCTTGACAATTTGCCCAGTCATATCTGACTCTATGGGGCAGTGCTCATCTCCGTTTCCAACCCATAGAGCCAGCGTTTGTCCGAAGACAATCTTCCACGGTCACATGGCCAGCGCAACTAGACACGGAATGCTGTTACCTTCCCACTGTGGTGGTACCTATTTATCTACTCTCATTTTGCATGCTTTCAAACCGCTAGGTTGGCGGGAGCTGGGACAAACGACAGGGGCTCACTCGTGGATTCGATCTTACAACTGCAGGTGTTCTGACCTTGCAGAACAGAGGCTTCTGTGGTTTAACCCATAGCGATGACCAAAAACGAAAGCCAACACAAGACTAAGCAAACTTGAAATCTGGAAGTGTCATAAGACTTTGTATAACTCATGTTGCTGGACTAAGATAAAGGTTATTGGGCTGTGAATAAAGGCCAGTTCAAACAATACATTTCATCACTGAGTGTTTGCAGCACCAGTTGATGTGTGAAATGACCTTTATAGAACAGAGACAAACTGAATTTTATATTGCATAAAACAGCTTTCTCCAACCTGACACAATCAAAATGAGTTATTTTACAACTCTGATCACCTCAGCCACCTAGTTATGTTGGATGAAGATGATCAGGTTGTGGTCTAGATCATCTCAAGGACAGGCTAGGGAAAGTTGATCCAACATTAGTTCTCTTTGAAGGAACTAATTTCCATTGAGAGACACTATGGTGGATTCAGATAACCAGCATCGATGCAGCAGTCATTCAAAACTTTCTGCATAACCTGTAGCATATGGGAAGACATTTAGCTGTTGTGCCTCACTATGCAACTCGATCCAACATTGCCAAGCTTCTCCTTCCTTTTATTTCCCAGAGGTTCTAAAGGAGTTGATAATGTAGACATTAATGACATGGGTGAGGGAAGCAACTATAAAGAACAACATAGCTGCAACTCCATGCAACTAAATGAATAATTCTTCCAGTCAGTATTGGGCAAGTCCTTTCACTCCCAGCTGTAATCAACCTTTAAATACAAATTGCTGAATCTTTCTATACTCAGCCTTCCTTATCCTTTTATCTCCCTCCTTCACTGTTCTTCACTACAGTATATTGTTATCTTCTTGGGCTAAATCCAATTATTGGTGCGAACTACCCTGTTTCCCTGAAAATAAGACTTAACCTGAAAATAAGCCCTAGTACGATTTTTCAGGACGTGCGTAATATACCGTAAGCCCTACCCCAAAAAATAAGCCCCAGTGAAGTGAAAGCCCCCCCTTCACCATTGTGCAGCAACTGGAAGAAGATGACATGACTATATTTGAATAAATGTAGATTGTTGTACATGAAAAAAATAAAACATGCCCTGAAAATAAGCCCTAATACATTTTTGGGGGGCAAAAATTAATATAAGGCCCTGTCTTATTCTCAGAGAAACAGGGTAGAGGACCCATTGTATCAATGCAACATATGCAAGTGTTCATTTGCTGAAGTCCTACTGAAGGGCTGGGTCTATGCTAGTGAGGACTAACAACTGGATTTAGCTCCTTGGGTCAAGGATCTTTGACCCCAAAAAATAAGCCCCAGTGAAGTGAAAGCCCACCCTCCACCATTGTGCAGCAACTGGAAGAAGATGACATGACTATATTTGAATAAATGTAGATTGTTGTACATGAAAAAAATAAAACATGCCCTGAAAATAAGCCCTAATACATTTTTGGGGGGCAAAAATTAATATAAGGCCCTGTCTTATTCTCAGAGAAACAGGGTAGAAGACCCATTGTATCAATGCAACATATGCAAGTGTTCATTTGCTGAAGTCCTACTGAAGGGCAGGGTCTATGCTAGTGAGGATTTAGCTCCTTGGGTCAAGGATCTTTGAAATGTTTTTATTATGCAATACTGTCAGGGAAGGCACCATAAACTGAATCCATCCAAAAGAACTGAGTGATTAGTCACCATGATACAGGCAGAATCGTGAGCCACCTTTACTGCAAACCTACAAATCAACTGTATCAGAAATGGAAGGCAAACATAAATTTCCCCATCTTTTTGAATACATATAACTTGCTACTTACGTAGTGAAAGCCGCGTTTACTTTGGCTCCGAGATAGTAAGAATATAAGATGAACATTCCAATCATAAATGCAAGGAACACCATAATAAAAAGGACCATAAACTTGAAAATGTCTTTTACTGTCCTTCCAAGTGAAATTTGCAATGGTCCAAAACTCTCATTTGCTGGCAAGATATAAGCAATCCGAGAGAAGCTAAGCACAACAGCTATCGCATAAAGGCCTTCTGATATAATCTGTGGATCAGACGGGAGCCATTTATCGCGCGCTGGAAGGAATAACAAACAGGAAATTGGTTATTTCGGCCATTCTTCATTGTGTTTTCACAATGAAAATATCTGGCAGTTCTATGTGCATATATCTTTATCAATAGGTTTTACAAAACAAAATACTGTACTGTAGTTATTTTTGAGCAACTAATCTTCACCTATATTTTTAGCAATATATTCCATGTCCCCAGTCAAATAACAGTTTGCTAGTCATCTTATTTAGATATGCCTGTTGTATCAATTCATACTCAAAAAAGAAAAGAACTGATAATTGCATTTATTTCAAGCATTTTCCAGATTTGAAAGAAAAACTCAAACTCTCTTCTGTAAATTCAAGTGGTATAATGAAGAGCAAAGGTGCACCACAAACTTCAGGCACGCTAAAGTAAGAATGAAAAACGTGTTACATGTGGAGAAACCATAAATCTAGTACTAATATAAGGTTATTGTTAAAGAACAGCAATCTTTTCTTCTTTAAAAAGGATAGTACTTTTTTTCTACCAACAGGACCTTTGGACTTACCATATGTAAAATATTCTATGTCTGGTGGAAGTGTGACAGGGAGGTCTGTCCCTGGCATTTTGTCCACAAACTGCTGCGCTTTTGTAGCCTGCAGGAATGCCAACAGCCTGGCTGTGAAAGCAGCAATGAAAATAGATAACATTCCAAAATCCAGGACATTCCACAGCTGTAAAATATATTCTCTGGGTCCTTCTGACCAGAGCTCCTTGCACTCAGACCACATCATACCTGAAATGAGAAGTGCAATGAAATGGAGTGAGAAGGTTACTAAGGCTGCATCCAGTCTGGACAGAACTTGGAAATGTGACTTTTTTCAGACGGCAGCTCCTAGAATTCCTTCAGCCAATCTGGCTGCACAGTTTGCAGAATCCCCACCCCAGCCAGCCCGGCCCATAGCCATGCTGACTGAGGGATGGTGACAGATGTCATTAGCAAAAGTAACCTTTCCAAACTCGTGGTACAGTATGTATACAGTTCTGCATTAAAAAAAGAGATCCCTGCACAAATTTAGTTTTTCATTTGTTGTATGAAGGACACATACATTTGGAATATATTATGCAGGCAAGTGGCAAAACGCTGCTAATAATTATGAGTCAAAGGCCACCCAAATCATATCTGGATAGGATTATGTACAAAGAACCTCAGAGGGAGCTATCAATCAAGAGAGGTAAAGTAACTGGCATTTGCCACAGGACAGAGGTGCAAATTCAAATCACTTACTCGTCAAAAGGTTTAATGCCACATGTGGGGGGGGCATAAAACCCACCAAATATGAATGTCTAGAATACACTGTGTTCAAATAAACATGGTATCTCCATTATATGAATTACTTTGGCCATATAGTAAGAATAGTAGGGAAAGTGCACAATCGAACGTCAGCTTATGATCTGAGAGCAACATGAGCTTCCCCTTTCCCCTGGATTCGCACCCTATCACCTCTGGCACAGACCTTTTCCTGATTTCACTCTTTTTCCCCCTGGATTCCCACTCTATCATCTCTGGCACAGACCTTTTCCTGATTTCACTGCACACAGAGAAGAAATATACACATGGGGAGAAGTACTGTCTGAATAGGCCCTGGGTTGCGTACAAGATCATTTGAAAAAAAATAAATGGCCAGCTTCAGATTCTGTTTGTGTACTTAGTTCACAAATGCAGGCCAAACACATAATGACTGCTGCAGCACAGTGACGTACATGAGCCACTATAAACAGTACATCACAAATTGAACTAAGACTGTTGCAAAGACTGGCATAACTGGGCAAATGCCGAGGCCCACAAAATACAAAGAATGCCGCTAAGAACCAGAAGCTATGTTCAGTTACAGGTCATTCTCAGACACACATGTAACGCTAGAAAGGCTTTCAGCACAAGACTCTGCTGTTGCTCCAGTAAGTAGGCAGGTATTACAAAATGGGAGGTATGATATAATGGCGGTAGCCTTTAAAACACATAAGCCAGTCACTGCTCCTCTATAGCCATGCCAACCAGTCAGTTCCGCTCAAGCAGCAACATCTAAAATATGGTCTCAGTCATTTCTGGAGATGTTCTCAGGGAACTACTATTTTTGACTTGCAGGAATAGCTAATAAAAGTCTGTGGAAACGGAGATCTTCTCCCCTATGTATGACCAACAACAAAGAAAGCCCATGCATATCTTTGTGCATGCACACCCGTATCCACATACACATACAATTTTCTAAGTAAGGAGCAGCCTGACGTCCATCAATGCTAGCTCAGATCCCCTCTGTAAAAGAACTGGTTTCTAGCAGAAAAGATTTAGGGATGGTGGAGGCTTAAGATCATACTCAGAGCTTCTTGCCCATATCCTGAGCTGCGAGAGAGCAACCGCTGTAGGGGTGGCAGCTGTGCAATACAATAAGGTGCAAGGCCAAGCCAATGCTTCCAACATAAGCAAACTTTGAACAACATTGGATTCTGATTTATTTTAGTAGTTTTTAAAATAATCTTCAGGGCTGATACACCTAGGTTGTGGATAGAAAATTGGCCTCCATACCCTATAAAGGTGCTCACTCCTTCTTAATTGGTATGCTTTACAAAGTGGACTGTGAACCACACTAGGACTTGTTAGTTGAGTGTGGATGTGTGGATGTACACTATATGCAATAGTTGTACAGTACTAAAAACACCATTATCTACAAGTCATGTAAAAGCACATTAGGTAAGGTAGTCATTAAGTAATATACATACCAAGCACCCATACCATGATCATTATCTCTGTCCAAGTGAATTGAGTGGTCTTAACCCTAAAGATCTGTTTAGGGTAGTCAGTAACTGTCTCATTTGGTAAAATTGAGATGCCTTCAAATCTATCTGAAGCATTGAATACCAGCAGCCCCAAGAAAATAATAAATGATGCCGCATGAGCCACAAACTTCATGAATGGACTTCGGAGAACTTTTCCGAGCTGAAAAATAAAAACAGAATACGTGCTTGTTTGTTGTTTTAAAGGTATGAATACATTTGTGTTCAGCAAATATCCCAGAGGCAGAATGCACTATACTATATATCCTGGATATTTTTAGCATTATATTTCCATGCAGAAGTACTTTTCTGCATGCACTAACACCCATACTTTAGAATCATTCAGACATTATTGCTGTACATTCTTATTCTCTGGAAACCACCTTGAAATAATCTTCTGATGAGGAGTGCTGCAGTTTTTATTAAAAATAAATGCAATTAAAATTAGTAAATTAATTTTGGAAGTTGTCACTTGAAAGGATACCATCCTCTTCTTTTTATTTTTTTAAGCATATCAAAGTTGGTTTCCAACCTTGCCCCAACAAAGCTGCTGTGTTCCACCCAATTCTGGTTCAAAATTCAGATTTGCTCTTTGTCTGCTTGTGTAGTGCTACACACACACTATTAAACTCCCAGGCTGGCAGCAATAATCAAGGTATATTATCAACTTAGTAGTAGGCTTCCCAAAGTATTAAGTCAGCCTGATGAATCATAAACTGTACAATCTGATCGTAAAATCAAAGGACATAACAGGGGTGTTTTTGCTGATTATTGAAGTAAAATAAACACAGTATCTTGGGAAACCTATTATAAAGCTATACAGAATCTTTGCTTGCATAAGTAGATGTTTACTTCCATATAATGACAAGCCCATACATGTACCAAATTCAGTCACAGAAGAGAATTATAAGAAAAGGACTTTAACACACTTTGCAATGATTTGCTTTCAGAAACAGGAATACAGTAATCCATATTATTGTATTCCTGCCTTGAGGGAAAGCATGCATAAACAGAAAGCTTTAGGAAACAGAATCAATTTACAGAGAGAGAGAGAGAGAGAGAGAGAGAGAGAGAGAGAGAGAAAGAAAGAGATATATATTTTTAAAAAACACAAAAAACTTGTACCCGGCTACATGGTGCCATCCAGTACCCAACGGCCAAAAATGGAAGGCCCAGAGCAACTACCAACACGACTAGACACTTGATAGCTATGGCCTGTTCCCGTAATCCTGAGAGGTTTTCGTACCAGATAGTCAACAGCTGTTGCTGACAGTTTGGATGGGCCACAAACTGTAAAGAAAACAGGGGGAAATTAAATTACACAGATATACCACACCTGTAATTAATCAGTTCCTCTTCGCCAGTCTTTAAGAATAAGGTAATTACAACAACCAAAAACTAGTTTGAAATGGAAACAAAAAACAGATGTGAGTGCAGATTTTTCACTGAATCTGGACTTATGAGGAATCCTACACTCACAAACAAACTTGCTGATGGAGCATAGGGAGAAATGGAACTGCATTTCCATTTGCAAAGATGAAGATATTCTGATAGAATGACAAAGTTGTAAGAAGTCCCTCAGGAATGAAGGTGTTCTGCTAGTAATGTGTCACCACTGCAGCAGAAGGAAACAAAGTAGATTGAGGTGGAGTTGCCACCCCCAACCCCCTTCATCTCTCCAACATGCCCCTGGAATCAGGGTGCTTCTATCAACTCTGAGTACATCAGTTCTGGAGCTAGCATAGTAGTCCCCAGTGCCCATAGTCAATGGAAGGGGAAAAGGAGATGCTGCTTCCCACATTGGAAAAGTTTCTTTCTTGGACCAAAGCTTGCAGTATCAGCCCGCCAGCACTGCAATCTGTAGTCCAAAACCACCTTTTGTCCGCCATTCTCTTGTTCTATAATTTTAGCGTCATCTGGTTTTATTGGTTAGTAGTCATTTTGGTTTTAAATAGTTTCAGTTTTACTTTGGTTTGTTTTGTTTATTACTGCAAACCACCCAGAAAAATGCTTCCACACTTATGGGGTACAGTATACAAAATAAATAAATAAATAAACAAACAAAAAGTCCATTTTCCAAACGTTATTCCTGCCTTCGCCAACACAAAAATAATATGGGAGTGTTATGTGCGGATTGTTCTTACATTTGACTCCCCCAATGCAAGCTTGCTCCATTCATTTAGTACAATAATTGCAAAACCAGATAATTCTACAAGTTAATTTCAGTTTAAATTGAGGGTCAAACTATACAAGAAGCTATGTTTGCAATTAGAACATTGTTTCTTAAGAGGTAATGAACATTTATTTATATCTTATATATTTCCTTTTGGGTAGTGACTGATCATCAGGAGGTAAACAACAAATTTCATTTGCATTGATTGTACAAATATGGCTGCTTTGAAGGAATGTGTCTTTTGAGGGATAATGTTTTTTTAACATCTAACTTCCTGTGTAACTGTTAGTCTGACCCAACTAATTTGGTGGAAATTGTGGCCTCAACATAAATTGAAATTTATAAGTTACAATATGCCTACCTAGCAATTCTGCAGTTGGTTTCAGGATGGCAACTTCATGGGCCTTCCAAATTAAAAAATACCATAAAAACCACGTAATATTAGCTTTTATGGTCTAGAAAAGGTGGAGCACCTTGTGGCTCTCCAGATAGTTTTGGCCTGGAATTTCCACAGCCTCTTGCCTTTGGCTGCACTGGGTAGATCTGATGGGTATTCCAGTCCAACAGTTCTGGAAAGCAACAGGTTTCCCACTCCACATCTAGATCATCATTAATTACACTCTCTCTATTGGATTTGATACAATATCAGAATAGAATCTATCTGAAGCCATGCTGCCCTTGAAAACAATGAGGCAACCCAACTGCATTTGACTTTCCCCCAAATTGTACAAATCACACTTGTAAACTGTAAGCATCTGTACAGAAGGAAATTTAGCTTGAAGCTGCAAACTGAGTATAAATATATACAGGCCTTGATACATATTCAAGTGTGTGGGAATTCTCAGTGTAGATCATTTGTGATATTGAAATTTTCCATTTCATTGTGATGTTGCCAATATAATGTACACTAATTGCTTTAAAAGTTTCATTATCAGCTACTAAAATTATATACTGTATTAGCAACCTATTTACATGTTTCCACAGCTCTTCTTTCTATGAACTCACCTCAGAAATAGTATAAAATTGCACTTTCCCAAAAATAGGCTTATTTTAAGTTTCTAAAGGCTTCTTACTGTACTGATTGTTACCACCATACAATATTATGCTATTATTAGGTTTGTTTATTTTTGCACATTGCAGAGTTGCTAATAACATGCTAACACCTCCATAGTCTCAAATGAAATTAGAAATATGTATTTTAGCAAAATACAATTATGAACAGTTGCTTTTTTGGTGCAAATGGGATTTTTATTTTAAACATCTCTCATATACGTGATCTATTATTTCATCTTTTGAAATGCAGTACGTTTTCAACAGACATAAAGGTACAACAAAAATGTAATGGTCCTGTGAAGTACGAAGACCTCCAGCCAATAAGATTCTGACAATTGAGACCTACAACAAAAAGCTGCACTGTAAGCATTCTCCTGATCAATACGCTAGGCTGGCCAGGCAGCTCGCTACACCCCTAGAATATATCATTTTAACCCCTCCTTTCCAATCCCACTCTTTTTCATTCCCCCGAGCTAATCTGCAGACCATAACTATTGTATTTTGGCTGTTTAGGTTATTGGCCTGCTTTTTATTTTCAATTACCCCATTTTCTCCTGTTGATTCCTTGGATCTTGGGAATATGAAAAGACCTGCTTCTTTACATTTGATGCTATTTTGCATCTATAACAAGCCCTCAACCATGAATGTAGGAAATAGAGGGACTGATGATATCTCTCACCCAGTCCAAATGTTTTGCTTCTTGAACTATATTCCACACAGTAGCACCTACTCACAAATAATTTGTGCACTACTTCTCATGTAGCCTGCAGATGTTGTATAAGAAAATCCAGAAATGAAGTATGGGGCTCATATTCAAAAGGGTATCTGTGATGGGCTGTCATAATGGCACATTATAGTAACCACCGGAAAGTTTTTATTTATGTCCTGATAAGTCATCCAAGCACAACTTGTGGCCTTCCAGATGTTCCTGGACTGCAGTCCCATCATCCCCTTCCACTGGACATGATAGCAAATGTTAAAGCAGTATCTCAAGGTCATATCTTCATGCTAAGGACACTAATTGTAGAAATTTATGGAAGTTGCTAGCAGTTTATAAAGCACATTGTTAAGCAATACAGCAGACTAGAAAATTACTATAACTTTCATGTAAGTAAGAATAAATGTCCAGAATACTGAGGGAAAAAACTAATGAAAAATTATTTAAACAGGCACAGATGTAGAAACTATTGTTGGGTGCTTTTGTAGCCCCCATAAAATATTTGTTCATGTTGTCTGTTAAAGGAACATAAATAAAAAGAAACTATTTTTGGCCGGGTAAGTGGGACTCGTCAGCCCTGGAAGGTGGCCCATCTAGGAGAAGGAAACCTCCACTGCCTTGTGGCTATATCCACTGATGTAAAAGGCTTCAGGAGTCAATCTCGCGGCCCAAAACACAGCCGGAGTCCCGAAGGCAGCTCATGTCATTCTCTCAACTCCTGCGTCATCGCTGAAACCAGTTGTATTGGCTCTTGCCTTTCTGTTTGACTATTTCAGTGATGTGGAAAGGGGGCATTTGCTGCTTGCTTGGGTAACAGCCTATCCTCCATATTTTTTTACCCAGGCTTCGTGCCCTGGAGAGGACACTCCAGCTTCACGTACAGCATCAAAACACTAGACGCTGTTCCACGTCCTCCATACAGAGCACGTTATCATAGTCTCTCGAGACTGAAGGATGCCTATGATGATGATATTTGTGAAACTCTGTTTGGAAGATTCATTAATAGTAAGCAAATAGCTTCATAGAACTTAAAAACGTTACACTTGCACAACACAGTGGGTCATCACTGTATAAGAAAGGCTTTTAAAATGACATACTGGTTTGAAGCTATCCATTAACAATAGTATCTAAGTACAAACCAACTATTTTTCCTGTAACATGGCTAAATTAGTTAGCATTGGCTGCTAAATACTAAACATTCACAAAATAATCAAAGAGCACCTTCACCAGAATGAAGAAAATGATTATAACTTTAAAAATACTCAATAGTTATTTATACGCTTTGTGACATAAAGCTGAAATCAGAGGTATTTCTGAATTCTAGATTTTAGCACATGCATAAATCTCTCAGCCCATTTAGATGTCATCTTAAAACGCAAAATAATGCTTCACCTAGAATACAGATACAGTCTAAATACAGTCATGGCCAAAAATATTGGCACCCTTGCAATTCTGTCATAAAGTGGAACCCTTCTCTCAGAAAATTGCTGCAGTTTCAGATGTTTTGGTACTCACATGTTCATTTATTTGGTTTGCATTGGAACACCAAAAAAAAAAACAAAAAAAAAAACAGAGAAGAAAAGTCAAATCTGATACAATCCCACACAGAAACCCAAAAATGCACTGGCCAAAATTATTGGCACCTCTAACTTAGTATTTGGTAGGACCCCCTTTGGAAAATATAACTGAAATCAGTACCTTCCTGTAACCATGAATGAGTTTCTTACACCTCTCTACTGGTATTTTGGACCACTCTTCTTTTGCAAACTGCTCCAGGGCCTTCAGATTGGAAGGATGCCTTCTCCCAACTGCTGTTTTGAGATCCCTCCACAGGTGTTCTATGGGATTCAGATCTGGACTCACTACTGGCCATTTGAGAACTCTCCAGCGCTTTGTTTGTAACCATTTCTGAGAGCTTTTTGAAGAGCGTTTCGGTTCATTGTCCTGCTGGAAGACCCATGACCTCTGGTGGAAACGCAGCTCTCTGACACTGGCCACTATGTTGCACTCCAAAATTCTTTGGTAATCATCAGATATTATGACACCATTCATACAGTCAAGGCATCCAGTGCCCTCATCAGATATTATGACACCATTCACACAGTCAAGGTATCCAGTGCATGAAGCAACAAAGCAACCCCAAAATATCTTTGAACCTCCACCATGTTTGGCTTTAAATACCCATTTAGTTGACAAGTAATTGTTTCTTTTTTACATTATCTTCCAACCATGTTTGGCTGTAGGGACTGTGTTCTTTTCTTTGGAGCGAGGGCTCTGTCCATCAGTTGCAGAAGCTGTTAACTTTGTCTCCTGTGTTTTAATTTGTTACTGTGGTTTTTAAAAGGT